CAAGTTATTAGAAGGACCGTCACGTCAAAAATATTCAGAAAAACTTAAATCGTTTGTATTAACTTTACACTATTACTCTCCAAGAGCATATACTTATTTAAGAGACACTTTCAATAAAACTTTATCAGACCCAAGAACAATAAGAAGATGGTATGCAGATATTGAAGGAGGTCCTGGTTTCAATCAACATGCTATAGCTGCAATAAAAACAAAAGTAGAAGAATTTAAAAAAAGGGATATAACATTAGTTGGTGGGTTACTAATGGATGAAATTTCAATTAGAAAACTCATTGAATGGACAGGAAAAAAATTAACAGGCTACAGTGATTGGAAAGGTTATATTGGGAAAGATGATGGTAATGATGAAGATTTGGAAGAAGCTAAGGAAGTATTAGTATTTATGGTAGTTTGCCAGAATGCAAATTTTAAAATACCAGTGGCATATTTTCGAATAAATGGTATTACTGGACAAGAAAAATCAAATTTGATTCTAAAACTTTTGGAACATTTAAATACCACTGGCATAATAATAACCTCACTAACATTTGATGGGTTGTCAGCTAATTTTACAATGGCTTCAGCATTGGGGGCTGATTTAAATACAGTTGAAAATCTTAAACCATGGTTTACTTATAAATATGGAAATATTGATAGAAAAATTTGTATTTTTCTTGACCCTAGCCATATGTTAAAGTTAGTAAGAAATAGATTGGTTTCTAAAAAAGTATTTATTTATAATAATAGTTTAATAAATTGGGAATATTTTGAAAAATTAGTTAAAGTACAGAATTTGGAAGGTCTTCATGCAGCAACTAAAATTAGTCTAAGACATATAAATTGGCAAAAAGAAAAGATGAAGGTAAAATTAGCTGCACAAACATTTAGTCGTAGTGTTAGAGATGCTTTTCTTTTTTTATCACAAGATTTGAAATTTCCCGAATTTAGAGACGTAGAGTGCACAGCAAATTTTTATTTATTGTTCAATAATTTATTCGATATTTTCAATTGTAGAAACTTAAATTCTAAATCCCAATATAGAAAACCTCTTTCAAAAGGTACTATCAACCTAATAAAACCCTATCTTGAAAGTTGTTTTGAATATATTGCTCAATTAAATTTACCAAATGAGCAGAAAATAATAGAATCTCAATCTAAAACAGGGTTTTTGGGGTATATGATTAATATAAAAAGTTACATTCAATTTTATGAATATTTAATTGATTGTGAAAACCCCGTCTTAGAATTTCTGCTCAGTTACAAATTATCCCAAGATCATTTGGAAATTTTTTTTAGTGCTATAAGAAGTAGGGGCGGATTTAACAATAATCCTTCTGCTCGACAATTTGAATCGGCTTTTAAAAGACTTTTGATTCACACTGACATTAAAGGTTCATTAACTGGAAACATAAGTGTACTTGATGAGAACACACCCATGCTTTCAGTAGAAACTTCATCTATGACACCGTCAGATGAACTATGTCAATTTTTGAATCTATATGAGCACGATTATGCAGTGAGTCCAAAAAGCTGGCATCTTACAGAGTACTGCAGTGATGTTATTGGTTACATTGCTGGATTTGTAGTGAAAAAACTTGAAGGGAAAATAAATTGTGAAAAATGTTTAGGAATTTTAAAAAATGATTTTTCGAGTTCCAAGCTACAAATTAGAAAAACTTATGGCAACCTGACATCATCATAAAAATATGTCATAGATATTTGCACAATAGCTGAAAAAACTCTGCGTTGGTCTCAGAAATCACATAATATTCTCAAAAGAAAAAACAAAAATCTATTAGAATATCTTACATTACAATCATTGGAAAGTGTTAATACAGATTCATTTAATGTATTTAATGAACACATTTTTGATGATGAAGCAGATAAAACTCATTCTACATCATTAACAAAATTAATATTAAGCACTTACATTAACTTAAGGATACATTATGAAATAACGAAACAGAATAGATTTATGTTAGATGTAAATAGATTAAGATCGAGATTGACAAAATTAATAACTTTTCAGAATCAATAACTAGTTTAAATTCAGTCAACTCATTTACCATATTCGTTTTGTATTACTTTCAACGAACACTGCACTGATTTATGCCAAACATCAATGTAAAGTTTGTCAAAAAAGGTTGTATCTAAATAAATTGAATTAATTACCAGAGTATCGTATCATCAATGATTTATGTGAAACGTCAATGTGAAGATTTTCTAAAAAGGAGACGCAAAATGGACACAAATTATTTTGGTCTCTTAAATCGACTTCATCTTACGAAAAAAAAGCAAATTTTGTTTATAAAAGTTCTGTTTATATTGTTAAATATACTTTCCAAATAACACGCTAGTTGTTGTTGTTTATTATTTTATTTTTTTATTAGGTATATTTTGTTTTCATGTTCAAATTAAAAACTATTATGTATTTCTGCAGTTTTACCATTGTATAGGTTTCAATAAGTAAAGGTATAGATACTTTGTAAAATCTCAAATCCTCACTGTAAGTTTAAATATTCAACGAAGAAATATTTTTTTATTATTATTGTTATAATGACAAAGCTCAACTTTTTATGTCATTGTGTACTGTTTTTTAGGATCCCCTATTATGTTGTTCCGTTTATGGAAGTCACTGTATATTTGTACATGGTCTAAAATATAAACTATCATCAGCAATAAAACAATAAAAATATTTATTTAATTTTTATGATAAAACTAGATAATTTATATTTTAAACGAGGTTTAATCTAAATACTTTTTTATGTAAAATATGCAAATATAATTACATATTGGTTTGTTTTTTTATTAGGTATATTTTGTTTTCATGTTCAAAATAAAAACTATTATTTCTTCAGTTTTACCATTGCTCAGGTTTTAATAAGTATAGATATAGATACTTCTTAAAATCTCAAATCCTCATTGTAAATATAAATAAATATTCAATAAAGTAATATTTTTATTATTAATATTATATTCATGACAAAAAAGTCATATTTTGTTTTCACTTCATTAAAAATGCACCTACCTACCTACCTACCTTTTAAAACATTTTATTTTTTATTCTACTTGGTCAACGTTTTCGCATTTAGAATGACCCAGCGAAATTGTTTCACGGTACGCTACTGCTGTGAATTCAAAAACGAGTGAGAAAGCCTTCATTAGAAAGAGAGAAACTGATTATATGATAGCGACATTAACATTGTATAACTTTATGCAGTGGTGGCCTATCTGCTATTATATTATCTAAGAACACAAGAGGAATCAAAACATAATTTAAGGTTATATTTACTTATTTACTAAAATATTTAGATATTAGTTTTAATTCGTTTATTTTTAGGTAAACCAGATATCAAGGTAAAGTTAGTTGAAGATGAAATATAGCTACAGTTGAAGAATCTCAAAATAGATATATATTAAAATAGTTGGGCCCTTGCTCATTGCTCTGTGAAAACTAATTATTCTACATTAGAATAATAAAATTGTTATTAAAAATTATATATAAGGTATGAGACTTTTAGTACGTAACACTATCTCTATTTGTCTATACATCAAGGCGATAACTCTGTCTCTTTTCCTTCTTGGCCGGCGCGGCGGGAAACGTCAGAATTTCCAACGTTGCCGGTTGTATAATTTGCAAAGTAACAAATAAAGTGTAGTAACAAATAAATTTCGATAGAAAAATATAATTTTTTAGATACAATAAAATACAGATAAAAATGCACCTATGTCAAACAAAAAACATCAAATTACCTATGAAATACGAACATACTTTTCTATGTTGGTGGCGATTTAGTAACCATAATACAGGTGGTGGTGGTGGTGGTAGTAGTAGTAGTAGGACTTCTCGCGGAGATTATTTGCTATCGATGGGTTCATATGACTTTTTGAAATCAGCATTTTTAGTCTATAATTATTAGATACTTCATATGGAAGTGCATTCTATCTTTCTAAATATATTATTATTTAATATGGTATACAACATTCTATGATTTATTTAGTCATAATATTTAATATGTGGCAACGTCACTCAACCCGACAATCGGTATAGAAGATACCAATAGTAGTTAAAAAAATAACCTTCATTGTATGTTGTTACTACTAGTAGATGGCGGTATTAAAAGTTAAAAGATAACTGCAAGTTTTTTTAGAATTTTTTTAGAACTAACGGTTATTCCTGAATTATTAGCAAATTGATTGAATATCTGCTAAATAATTGTAAACTAAAGATAAATGTTTATCTAATAAGGGTAATACACAGAAGGATCAATAAAATAATGGCAGGTTTTTTAAAAAGTTGCTATTGTTAGATATTGAATAATGAAAACTCAAAAATCTTAAAAAAAAATGTTTTTTTTTGTACTTAAAATGTTAATAGCATTAGATTCGTTAAACTCGTTTATACTAAACACGCCCATTTTTGTTTTTTGAACATTTGTAATTCGATTTTTTATTTTCCTATCTTTTGTTTTTCGATTTATTATTGATAGATATTTTGGAACTTTTACGTTTTCTCATTTAATTATTAGCTTTTCGATATTCTCCATTCGATAATTCGTATTCGACCTTTTCTCCGGGACCCCTTGTAACCAGGACAAAAATTATTCGAAAATTTACAATTACCGATAATTTTTATAAAAAATACATCAGTAGTCTTCCAATTCATGTTACAAGAGATTTTTGAAGTAGATACAGTTAAGAAAATATCAAGCTCCATACAAGTAAATAATTCTAATTCTAATTTCTATTCGCCTACGGCTTGTGTCGTAAACTTCACTCTTGTGACTAATAGCCATAATTATATGCTAGTTGAATTAAATACTATTATTTACTAAATGTATTTTATATAATTTGTTATAACAAAAAATATCTAACAATTAAAATCTATAAATAATTTATATTATTTTACCCTTTACTTGATACGCCTATGTTTAATATTCTTCGAACAAAAAATTAAATTTACTATGAAAATCAAAATGAATAAAAACTGTTTCAAATAAATACACGATTTAGGAGTAAATTTAAGCATATTATAATAAAATTACACATGTAAATATATGAAAATGCTCCATTTACGGCTTAAGTATTAAGCGCCCATATTCTCTGAAAAAGAAATTCTGAAAAAAAGATAGATAAGAAACTAAAAAAGTATCAAACATATCCAGCAAAGGCAAAAATATACCTACTCAGTTGCGTTATAGAAGTCACCAAAAATATTAAACCACGCACTCAAATTTTTAGACAACCAAACCTGGCAAATAAGTGACTTAGATATAGAAAATTTATTTATTGTGTGTATTAATTTATGTAGATTTATGTAGTGCAAGTTAAGAAAAAAAATTTAAATAGAAATTGAAATGGCCTGCAATTTTTTACCTAACCGGGTACTTGATATTAATAAAAATTCCGATACACTTTCGGAAGTCTCAGAATCTGGTACAGCTACCTCAGAATGGACTTCGAATTGGGATTCCAAAGAAGAATTAAAGGACCTACTTTCGAAATTAGGACTGAAAGAAGTATCCGACTTGCACCAGGACCGGTTTCGCGTGGACAGAAAAAAGTTGGAACAAATGCTTACAGGTAGGTGCTTTTAAATCAAAAAATCTAATAATTTTGTTGCAACTAAATAATTTTTAAAAATATATTGACATTTCTTGAAGTCTTAAAAATGTACACGTACACTCTTTTAAATGGCCATTTCAGTTTTAGGAACGTCCATTTTGAAAGAGGGAAAAATATAATTTCTTTGCTTTTAACAGCATTATAATTTTGTACTAAATGTATTGGTTTAATATACATGGTAGAGTTTTCCAGTTTTTTCTGGGAGGACTCTAACACAAAAATTTTAATTAAAAAAGGCAAACAAATAATAATAAAAAAAAGAAAATGATTCCAACTTAAATGTGACTAAGACGTAAAGTAAAATAAAGAAAATAGATTTGTTCGAAGCCATATACAAGGTGGCCACTTTTTAATAGAAATATATTATCAGAGATTTTAATTTTTACTGAGCAAAATTTACAATTTTCTTCCTGATAAGTAGTATTAATGTTTTTGGTAACATAAAAATCCCCTTTGAACGCCTTCATGTGGCAGCCATCCCTTCAATTTGTTCAAACAGCAGGAGAAGACATATTACATTTAATTGAAAATAGTACCTATATTGTTTTACGAGTGACGAAACCTCCGCTTTGCCTCGGCTGATAAATTGTTCTCTCGCTTCAAAAAATGTTTTCGTCGAGTAAAACACTATACTTTTTCTACAACCCTGTTTATATCATAATATACTAAACAAGAACAATTAATAAATATTTTATTAAATCTCACGGTATTTTTACGATTTTATTTTGCCTTTTATTTAAACAAAAGTAAAAAATGCATTCTATTTATAGAAATAATTTCGGTCTTTGTTTATTAATAATTTAAAGTCGTCAAAATATTATATACGAGGGCGGGAAATTATTGGAAAAATAAATTTTCGCTGAAGGTATTTTATTACATTTATATTATGGACTAACTTTTTGTTCAAAAAAATTTTTACACAAGATCTTTTTTGTTTTTTCAAATTGTTAATGGACTTATGCCCGTTTTACATGGAGCGATTCAAATAAAATTATTAGAATATAAAAATAATTTAAAATAGACTTAATAATAATAATAAAAAACCCCGCTAGATTTTACTGATTAAATCATTATATGATATATTAATTAATTTTAAAAAAGACTCAGCATTAAAAGTGCATCGGAAAGCACCCCTGCTGCAACCCTTAGAATCGTTTAATTTCCTGTTACTTATAGAAAAAAGAAACCCCTCTAGATTTTACTGATTAAATCATATGTTATAATAATTAATTTTAAAAAAGATTCAGCATTAAAAGTGCATCAGAAAGCATTCCTATTGCAACCCTTAGAATTGTATAATTTCCTGTTACTTATAGAAAAAATAAACCCCTCTAGATTTTACTGATGAAATCAGGGGATTCTTTTTTCTATAAGTAACAGGAAATTATACGATTCTAAGGATTGCAGCAGGGATGCTTTCCGATGCACTTTTAATGCTGAGTCTTTTTTAAATTAATTAATATATCATATAATGATTTAATCAGTAAAATCTAGCGGGGTTTCTTTTTTCTAAAGGTAACAGGAAATTATACAATTCTAAGGGTTGCAACAGAGGTGCTTTCCGATGCACTTTGAATGCCGAATCTTTTTTTAAAATTAATTATTATAACATATAATGAACTAATCAGTAAAATCTAGAGCACTTTGAATGCTGAATCTTTTTTAAAATTAATTAATATATCATATAATGACTTAATCAGTAAAATCTAGCGGGGTTTCTTTTTTCTATAAGTAACAGGAAATTATACGATTCTAAGAATTGCAACAGGGGTGCTTTCCGATGCAATTTGAATGCTGAATCTTTTTTAAAATTAATAAATAAATTATATAATGATTTAATCAATCATATCTAGCGGAGTTTCTTCTATCTCTAAGCAACAGGAAAATATTTAATTCAAGGGGTTGCGGTGTTGGGGTGGTTTCCGATGCCCTTTTGAGGTTGAATATTTTTCTAATCTTATCAATATATGTTAGAATGATTTATTTAATAACATTTAGCGGGGTGTTTTCATCCGGACATTAGTAAAAAAATACATAATTTAAAGGGTTCTTTTAGAATGTTTTGACTATTTTGAGGGTTGAAAACAAGTTTTGTATATAAAATATTTACTCTAAGTACATTATAAAAACAATACAATATAGTTTTCTTTTTATTATCAATAAATAATTTTAAGACATATATTTTACTCATTTATGATAACCGAATTAAATTGAAATAATTTCGTTCATTCGAACGTTCCGTTCTTCAAGTACATTATACACAGGAGTCCAAAAATATTTATCTCTACACGGCGAATCGTAAATAAGTATGGACATGTTTTTTGATAATTACTTTCATTGTTTTAGAAGTTGAAAATATTTATTAAAAAATAAATTATGTCTAGATTTACCATTTTTAATGATAAGTTAAAATATTTTAGGTACCATAAATGCAGGGTGATTAGTAAATGTCGATACAGGCCAATATAATTTTTAGGTACTGATTTTTAGGTTGGTACTCTTATTATTAACATACGTATAACTGTTCATTTCAATATCTACTACTAAATAAATTAATAGATTCTCCATCGAACGACATGTTTTTATTATTGTCTTTTATTGCATGGGGGATGAAAATATATACAAAAAAAAATATTTATTACTAGATTAATTGCTTAAATCATACAAAAATATGTTATAAACGTACGATATGATATTTGTTTCATCAGCGTTAATGGGATTAGCGGTATTTTATACAGGGTGACTAATAGATAAATATTTAATGTTCTTTAAAGGTATACCTGCATATTTATTTCAGTAGAACAAAATTTCCCAAAATTTCAGCTTTTAACTGTAATAGGCTTTTTTATTTATTTTATTTATAATACAATACTCTACAGGTCATAAACCCAATTACAGAGCAGGAATTGACAAAATATAATTATTAATAAATCACAATTTTTTATTTGAATGTTAAGCATATAAAAAGAACTTCGTGATAAGTAACAAATTAACAAATTAACTAAGATAAAAAGTGGGATTTTATATCTGACAAATTGCAACTAAATATATCAAGTTCATTGACAATAGAATTTGTCACTGTACATATGGTATGGAGCGGAGAATTTTCCAGAACATTTGTGCGAGGTGTATTTATATAAAAAGTATTCGGGTGTCTGGAAGAAATTCTAGGAATGCAAATATTAAACTTTTCTAATAAGGTTGGGCAGTCAATAATACTTTTAATAATTTTATAAGTTACTACTACACTATAATAATCACACCTTCTTTCGAGACTGAAAAAGTTATGCTTTTGAGATACTATAGGTGTTAAACTTTTGAAATGCTTCTTTTGTCGCTGGTTGTACTTTTTAATAGCCGTTTTAGTGAAATTATTAAAATATAAATATATTTTAGCATTACACGAATATAAATAAAGACCAAATAATATCTGCTTTTACAAGATGAGTAGCTAACCCCTATGTATATTCGTCGAATGCCAAAAGATGTTACGATAAAATTAGCCACATAAAATTGGAATTGATTAGCTTTTCCTGGAAAAACAATAAAAAGTGGGTTATTTCTTAAGTCAATATCTCAAAAATCTATCCTATTAAAAAGCTGCAATTTTTGGAAATTTATTTTCTACAGAATGGTTGATACACTAGTAAATAAACACCTTTACAGGACTAAAAATACAGGGTGATTTATCAAATTTTTGTAACACATTCGATAAATTAACTATTAATATATCTATTAAATCACCATGTAATCAATAAATTGGATAGAACTAAAAATACTGAGTTTCACATTCAATAAAAAAAATCGAATCACTCTGTATAAATGGCACCTAAAATCTTTTGTATTATCATTAACAATGATAAATATAGCAATAATTAATTTTTTGTACATATTTTCAACTTCTGAAACAATGAAAGTAATTATAAAAAACGTAACGTTATTTATTTACGATTCACCCTGTAGAGACAAATATTTTTGGACTTCTGTGTATACTCGTAGAGTGTCAAAGGATGTTACAATAATATTAGACACACAAAATTGTAATTGATTAGCTTTTTCCTGGGTAACTGGTAATAAAAAGTGTAATTTTTTAAGTTTAACACCCTGTATATCATAAACTAATCATAGAAAAAAGCTATACTATTGGAAAATATCTTCTACAGGATGTATAATATGCCAGTGAAGAAATATGTATACTTTTACAGGACTCAAAAAGTATAGGGTGCTTAAAAAATTGTTTTTTTTTGACACATTCGATAAATTAACTATCAATATATTAATTAAATCACCCTGTAGTCAATGAATTGGATAATTATACATATGGTAAATACACAAAAGTTCCGTAAAAATACTGCGTTTCACATTAATACTTATAAAGAAATATATTGGCCTATGTCAACATTTACGAAACAGCCTGTATAAATGACACGTGATATCTTTTGTATTATCATTAGAAATGATAAATATAACAATAATTTTTTAGTCCTTTTTATGTTAGTTGAATGCCAAAAAATTATAATCGATTAGCTTTCTTCTGAAATAACTGTTATCAAATAAGTGGTATTTCTTAAGTTTAACACCCTGTATGTTAAACACCAGTCACAGAATTTGAATGGTCCCATAGACACTATTGCTTAAGAGGTCGAGAATTGTAACATCAAAAATTTATAACATTTAACAGGTCGCCACTTATCCATAAGCAGTGTGCGGGGTCCTTGGTTAACATTTTCGCGTCATAAGATACCCCTATCGGAAAAATTATTAATTAAATAAACTTTGCCAGTGGCATACGGCATGGATAAGTAACACCTTCATCCCTTTTAAATTTTACGCCACTGTCTAAAAACTTATTTCAACTATCCTTTTACCTTTTTTTGATGTTTTAAATACATCATGTACTCTTGTTGGAAACTAAATATAGAGAAAACTATATATTACCAATAATTTGTATCATACTC